GAGAGAGAGAGAGAGAGAGAGAGAGAGAGAGAGAGAGAGAGAGAGAGAGAGAGAGAGAGAGAGAGAGAGAGAGAGAGAGAGAGAGAGAGAGAGAAGGCGAGCCAGTGGGCAACTGGTTTATGTGTCGGCCTCACGGTACAACTGTCCAAGGTTCGATTCTGCCTCTGGCCTTCCTGTGTGGAGTTTGCATGTTCTCCCCATAATGGGTCCTCTGGTTTTCTCCCACATTCCAAAAACATGCGTGGCAGGTTAATGGAACACTCCAAATTGTCCCGAGGTGTGAGTGTGAGTGTGACTGCGGATGGTTGCTTGACTATGTGTGCCCTGCGATTAGCAGGCGACCAGTTCAGGGTGTAGCACCCAAATACATGTGGGATCACTTCCAGCCCCAGAAATTGGATGTGTGTGTGTGTGTGTGTGTGTGTGTGTGTGTGTGTGTGTGTGTGTGTGTGTGTGTGTGTGTGTGTGCGTGTATGACAAGCAACAATAAGGCTGTTCTTGTTGCCTGTCATTTGACTATTGTCATTTTGTGTACCTTCTTCCCCACTGACCTTGCTGCCATGATCTACTTGTTGATTTTACTGTTGTACCGGTACCTAATTGCGATGCAAACATTCCCCATAACTTACAACTTGATATGTTTATTGACATCCTGTCAAATTTATGTCTCCAGGTTCACGTGGGTACCTCCCATCAAGAGCAGAGGGTTGTGGGATATCTCACATGCACCCACCTCCATGCCATTGAAGGTACAATGATACAGTCGAGCTTTCAAAACATTTCTGACTCCATCCTCATTTTATCAAGCTAAGTTTTATTTTGTGATTTCCATTTCAATGTCTTTGTTCGTAAGGAATACACACATATTGGTATTTGTTTCTGAGTGGGTGACCAGAACGACACATTTTCATTTCTGTATGTGGTGGTACAGTACGTCCAAACCACCACATAAATGCGTGCACTAAAATTTCTGCGTTCTTCCTCCGCCAGTTCCCTTGGCGACTGGCTCAAGCTGTTTAGAACGTCAGAGCCCTATTTAAAGCTCTGGTCAATGGCTCCCTCATTTTTTACTCGAGACATGTCTTCCACCCCTGCCTGATATGTTGAGCTCCTCCTGCATTTCTCACAGTTCTAAACATAGCACTGCCAGGGCGGTTACTAAATATAGAACTAACGTAAGACACTTCAGGGGAGAAGAACAAATGGGGCTAAGAAAGAGGAACGGCAGGGTGAAAGAGTATAAAATATATTTGAGTCCTAAAATATGTGAAAGTCCATTTCATGGGCACTCAAAGAGCAAATGGTTGTGTTATGCACAATTATGTGTGCCATTTACTTTTTCATCATACCTATTTTCTACTGTTAAATGTGTTCAGGGTTAAAATGGCGAGGAGGAAAGTGGGGGGGAAACGGAAGCACTTGTAGTAGGATTGTTTTTACCTTTACGAACTCTAACCATTTACAGCAGTTATACACAAGTAGGCGGCCGATGATCCAGTGGTTAGCACATCAACTTCACAGTGCAGAGGTGCAGGGTTTGATTCCGGCTCCAGCCGTCCTCTGTGGAGTTTGCATGTTCTCCCCATGCCTGCGTAGGTTTATTCCCGGGTACTCCAGTTTCCTCCCACATTCCAAAAACATGCATGGCAGGCTGATTGAACACTCTAAATTGTCCCTAGGTGTGAGTGTTTGTATATGGGTGTTATTCAACACAAAGTCAATCTTAATTTTGACAAGCAATGCTTCGGTAAGCAATGCAAATTGTGCAAGGAATTGACCTGAATGTCACTATTTTTCATGCAAGCTAAAACCGCAGCTTGGCGGGAGCGGGGGGGGAAACTTTCTGCGATATACTGTGTGTGTGTGTGTGTGTGTGTGTGTGTGTGTGTGT